TGATGACCCAATAATCAATCCGAAGTTTATCAGTATATTTACTAATGAATATAGTAACGTTGTAGTATATTAATATTATACATTTCATTCGATATTTCTTTCTCTAACTTCTAAAAGGACAATCGTTCTTGCATGGCACATAAAAAATGCACAATTTGAATCACATCTATTTATGATACAAACTGAAATTTTAAAACTTGCATTATTTGTTTTTGATTTTTTATTGCATTTCTGTTTATATAATTTCTTATATTCATTTACAGTACCATCTTACCATTATTATTATTCAATATGCCAGAAACAAAATAAGCAATCATTGTTAATATTGTAGGGAGTTAGAAGTTGTTGGTGATTGGTAATTGTCCAAAACTCAAAGTAAACAACAAAACGATAAATTCCCTTCATTTGTCATTCGAGAATAACAACGCGAAGATAAACATTGTTTATTTGTAGGTTATCGTAAATCCAAATACATGAAGTTACGTTTCGATATTGCATGTAGTGTAATAATCTTCGTAGTATTGTTTTACGAACAGCGTGGAATAAGCTCGTATTCACGTCACGATCCAAGGAAAAGTAATGTGTCTGGTATCTATAGACGGTACCCATGAACTTTCAATTACCAGTTACATCATACCGTGAATAGAGAATTAGGAGAAATTGTGTAATAAAAGTTTACAAATGCATTTCAGCTAAAATGAATGTATCCTATATAAAGAATGAACGTTTTTAATGAAAATACTTACATTTTCATGAATCTTCCTACTACTTTTATGTCATTTTAACTAAAATACGTCCATATAATCCAAATAATATTATGCGACAACACGCAACGCAACACAAGAAACGCGTAAAACAAGACAGGAAGAAAATGAAAAAATCTAATTGGAGAATTAATGAGATGAACGAATTATTCAGGTTAATGTTGCGCGAGATAATCAGGTTGTTATTATACACCATCCAGGAATAGAATCTTGACAATTATACGATACTACCTAAGTAGTAATTAAAATTAATTTTGTCATCCACTTTGTGCATAGCACTTTCACGTTTTTGTTTGGAGACTTCTTATGATGAGGAACTCGCGTGATAAATGAAGCACGTGAAATGAAAAATCAATCGGTGGCACGTTGAAAGATAAAATGTGTGGGCTGATGAACACGTTGGAACTTAAGTACCTATCTCTGTTCGGCCTCTTCTTCGAACTGTCGACATGAGTTTCGTTCGGTCGGCAACCTTGTTAGAAACGTGAAAGGTCCTGTAACTGGTTGCGTTAAAACATACTCGTGATCAGAACCCAGTAACCTAGTAAGAAATACTTTCTGAAATGCAAAGTTGAAACGGCTGTTTCGTTCCACTTCCGCCGCAGATGTTAGATGCGTGAAAGTTTGTGGCGCATCATTGTTCGCGGTACGCATTCGTTATTTATCACCTGACTAAAGTCGAGAATGCACGGATCATTTGGAGTAGAAATTCAACGTTTCAATGAAAAACACACTATCTCACAAGGTAACACTGTTTGACACTAGAACTACATATCAGTCAAAATAATTAGATACGGTTTACTTGTTCTGCAATTATTAATACATTAAAAGCATTGAATATTTGAAATGATATCGAAAGTAAATAGTTTCACTTGAATATTATAAACAATATCCGAAGAGATTGAAAATAATTTATTGTTACAATTTTTAGAGGGATTACGTAATATCAATCATATTAAATGTTCGGTCGTTCTAGCGTTAACACGTTTGTGACCACATGTAACATACATGTATGTGTGATAGCGATTCGTTTAGAGCAGGGGTGTCCGACCTTTTAGCTTCCCTGGGCCTCATTCGAAGGAGATGGGTTGTTATGAGTCGCATATAAATTAATAGCATGTTTAACTTGTATTTGTAGTATTGTTAACACGTTCCGTGCCACGTGTACCATTTATGGTGCACGCGCAATTTTTGTTAGGAAACATTTTTTGTCAGAAATGTGTTAAAGAACAATGGTACACGTTGTGAAACAACAAAACACGTAAAGAAATAATATCAAAATATATAAAAAGTCAGCAGGAAAGCTAGAATGTAACTTAATCTATCATTTTAAAAATCAGTGCAATTTATAAGCAAGACATAACCGAAATTTCCGATGGCACGGAATGTGTTAATGGGTCTTTTAGTTACTATCTTATGAAGTTTGTAAACTTATGATTTTTTGTTGAGTTACATTTACAATAGTCTTGGGCTGCAGGTTGGACAAACCTAGTTTACAGAGTTCAGCGTCGCATAGGGTAATTTCCGATGAGACAGCTCTGCGACCGAGATGGGTTGATCTCATTAAAATTCTCAAAAATTTTCAATTTTTTTGAGTGATATACTGAATCTTGTATAGGGCAGAACGAAATGTTTGTACTGTACTGTCGTAGAGTAATTCTACACCTTCGGTTTGCTGAAGATTTAGGTAAAGAAGCTGTCGCAAAATTCCCTTTGCCCTTGAAAATAAGGGTTAAAATTTTGTATTGTATCTAAAACCTTAAAGATAAAGGTAAATTGTACCACACGGGGATCTTTGTTACGGCTGACAGCGTAAATGCTAATTATTATTATTAGTGCTTATCTTATTTTTTCTACAGAAAAGTTTCAATTTCACTTGAAAGCAGCTATTCTTGGTCTTCTTTTTGATTTAGGAGAAAAATACATATCCAAGAATGAAAAGATTAAGAACGAAGTGTACCAGGAAAGGACAATCGATATCGCGTTGCTTTCGACAGCATTTTACAAGAAAATTATTCGTTTTGGACCCATAATTCCTTTGAGACAATTTGCCTCTGTAATGAGTAGAATACGATAGCACAATACAAAATTTTAACCCTTATTTTCGAGGGCAAAGGGAATTTTGCGACAGCTTCTTTACCTTAATCTTCATCAAATCCATCTGTGAAGATCACGCTATGATTGCAAAGTGTATACATGTCGTTTCATTTTACACAAAAATCTATTTAAATATTCTTCTTATATAGATATATATATATATATTTCATTACATATATTTCATTTTTTGTTAAGTGTCCATGAAATTTATTTTACTCTTTAAAAGCTTTCGGAGAATTGCCAATCCTGTCGAATAATTTATTATATATGTATAACAATTTTCAGATTCATATTCAGTGCATGAAAATGTAGAAAAATTATCTATTGGTTATTGATTACTGGAACTGAATGTTAATTCGGATGTGTAATTACAGATAGATACAAATACTGAAAACTAGGTAATCTTTCTTAGCAAGAAAGTCAATTGACAATCCTATCTCATTTTTTAGTTTCCTTTAATAATGAGGATATGATAGTTCATAAGCAGACGAACGCACTTATAAAGAAGAATTATGATCCCATTTGTCGGTCCCTTATTTTATTACCTTTTTCATCAATGTTTTTCTTACTCTCTTCTTCAATAGCGAACATAGTTTCTTTCCTACTTTTCCCGTTTCTACCTCTTCATCTACAACCCTCCCATGTTTTTCTGTTTCTTTCCCCAGATCAGTCTGCAGACTCCATCTCTCCCTACTCTTTGTGCTTCTCTTGTATCCCCACTCCTTTGAGTATTAAGTCTACCAACATAGGTTGGTGGATCATTTCTCTTCAGATCATAGATTAGTTCATTCTACTCTCTCCTCTATTGCAATTTTTCATGCCTCTTTGCAGGCTTACTCCCAGGCATGTGGTTTATTAAAGATTTTCTCGCTGTCCAAATAAAATTCTACTCACCTTCTCGGTGTTCCTTTTTTGCACCGTCAAAAAATCCACGTACTTTCTTGTTTGTGTTGTGACGATTTTTTTCCCTTATTTATCCTTTTATCCGTTGACCTATTGTTGACCTATTGAATTAACCTATTGAATTAACCTATGAAAATTTAAAAGATCCTGTACGTCTTTGTAAAGATATATTTTACTATTAAACAGAGATTTTTGAACTTTTACCTTTATTTTCCTTTAAGTGGCACATTACATTGTAAAAAGAGATCCGTTTAATATTTGCACTTCAAAGTTTGACGTGTGAATCATGTTAAAAGAAATATTTCCCTTGGCCTCTACAAAGGAATGGTCTTTATGGGTCGTCTTGGGCTTTGTTTATTCCTGGTTCTAGTTTTAGTAACTGTAAATTAGAATATGAATATGACTTCCTTGGTACAAAAGAGCGTGTAGAATGAGAGAAGTCGAAGTATGTCGTACATCATTCTTTTACCTGGCAGCAGTTGATCGTAAAATTCGTTTCTTGTTTAAGAAGAATTCCGGGAGATTTCAAATTTCAAATATTGATCCAAGAATTTAACAAAACATTTTGTTTGAACAAAGTTGTTGCACACATATTGCAGTTTATTTCGCGAATTAGTATACATGCATGAAAGAAAATGTATAAAAATAATCACTATATGTGCAATAAATTGTGAGGTGCCCTTTTTTGTACAGGAATTTTATTTCAAGCGTTAATTAATTAACATAATAAAATTATGTAACAACTGATAAGTGAAATATTAACTATTACAGAAAATGACTCGGAACGGAATATTCTTAAATCGTTTAGTATATTTAGATATGGACATTGTTTATAGAGATCGAAATCGTAAGGTTTATGAAAATTTTTAAATTTCATTGTTTTTTTAAGAAGCTGATTAATTTGATAATATCAATCACAACTGGTTTAAAAAATTCACGTTCTTATTCACGAGTGTACGAATATTTGTGTGAACAATTAAAAAACTCATGTTTTTTGTTTCATTAAGGATTAGATTGAATATAATACTTGCAATATACTAAAAGTTTAATTTCAAAATGTAATAATCCATTAATTCTACAATTGATGATTAATAGATTATGATATTACCTATGTATAATTATGTACACTGTAATTTCAATGAATTGGAAGAACGAATTCAAAGATAGAATCTATTGTTAATCAGTTTACTTACGACAACTTTAACTTTTTAATTTAGTTTTTATCATTTGTTTTAGATTGACAAAAATGGCGCCGAACCTGTTCGGTACATCAGCCACGTTATATTTAGAAGCTTCGCAGCAGGATGTTCACCAGGATAAGTCCGCGACAGAAAAGACAAACGCACAAAAGCTAATAGTACAGAAGTCACCGGCCAGCCCTTCGAAATACAAATGGAATATCGTCTGGAGAAATGTGATTGCTTTCCTTTACCTTCACATCGGAGCGATATATGGGTTGTACCTTTTCTTCAATTCGACGATGTTCTACACGTTTTTATGGTGTAAGTTGATTTTTCTTGTTCAATAAAAATATAACACTGGAATTTTCAATTGTTTCAGTATATAATTAATAATATAAAGTTATCCTTCGAGTAAATATTGAAAGAAATATATGATTCTTGTAACTCAGTAATCACAATTCATTCAATTAAGATTTCTAAAGAGTCGGAAACGTAAATCGTGTAATATGCAGGGGTGTACTTTATAATCAACTCGTGAAAGTAAGTTTTACGTGGTAATTTAGTGTTATTTATTGTCCATTATGTTTGATAAGTTTCTCACATTTCTCGAAAGATATGAACTCTGCATTAAGGAAAAAAATGAGAAGTCTATTCAACGAACTTAATAAATTATGCTACTTACTTTTATTATATTTGTTATAAGAAGATTGCATTTTATAATACTTATATGAATATTTTTGTATTTTTTTTGTATACCATGGGAATAAAATCAAATTGAAATCTAATTTCTAAATTAGGGCTATATCCTGATTCAGAATAAAGTGAATACTTCATTCAACTTTTAAAAACTACAATATTTCTATTTCACGTAGTACATTGAGAATTTTTTCATTGACTCCAAAAGCCAAGGAAAATAAAAACATTATTTTCATTCGAGCTTCCTCAAACTGTTTAATAACCTTGGCTTCATATAATTAAAAATGCTATAAAACACATGTTATAACGTTAGGAAAACCATAAGATCCTTTGATCGTAAATGTACGATCAAATTGACAACATTCGAGTAAAAAGATTACTTAGTTTTCACCTGAAGTATGTAAATATTATGAGCATAGCAGACGCACTTAACGTTGTCTTCGGATAATGACATTTCTGCTTTCCATACGCTGCGTAGCACGTACCGCCATCGGAATCGGTTTCGAAAGTGATGATCTCTGGCGGTACTGCTGTAGTTATTAATGAAAGGCCAGCAACTGGGTCGTCTAAACGGCGAAGAGTTAACCGTAGAAATCGTAGAATACCACAGAGAACGTTTCTGACCAGACATATGCTCAATAAACGAGGCTCGCGCGAAGTTTATCGTCATCTTTTCGAGAACACCTAGCCTGGCTGCGCCGTGAGAAGTATTTTAGCGGGTATTGACACGACATGTGCCGTTTTCTTGTTGGTAGAAATCAACGATGAAAGTGTGTGAATAACGACGACGCACAGCGTTTCGGATTATCAGATTAATAGGAAGAAATTACAAAATTATTCTTCTATTGATTACAATTACTATGATTACAATTTTCTATGCACCCGTAGAATTCGTAAATTCTAACTAGGAAGTTCATTCAAATAGAATTAATAGATTCTGGAGTACGATGAGATTTAGATTTTATTTTTCGCGATTTATTTCATTGTCGTAAAATTTAATATTAACACATTAAGTGCCATGTCAGTCATTGATGACCGACGCTTCTGAATTACTTGAAAACAATCGTAACGTGCAACATAACTGATATGGAATGAAAATGTTTAATAACGTAATTACGCAATAGTGTAATAGTGTAATAATAGTGCAACAAGGATTGTAAGGCTAAATAATTAATAATTGTTCCTGTCTTTCTTTGCTATAAAAAAAATAACTCTATAGGAAAACAGTCAAAATTTTCGTGGCACTTAATGTGTTAAGGACCACTCTGCGATCGGTAAAATCTCTCTGTTGAAGAAATTTTGTAGGATAATTGGTCTACGTTAAAGAACGTCCTTCCTGGGTGTTGTTTATTGATTTAAAATAAATTTTTTTAATAACGATATAAGACACGCTTTCATTCTTATGAAGTGAGAAATATGCCTGAATCATTGTTCGAGAAATCATGAAGATTAGAAGTAACTGTAAATGTATGCGATTAAACGCCACCACTTACCTGTTACCTGCAGAGGTATCTTAACTTTCTACTTTACAGTTCTCTGACAATTATACTTTTATTTAATCGTGTAATAAACAGTGTAACCTAAATTGTATCTATTCTAATATTATGCATTGGAACGGCACCATTTTAAAACTTGGACTTATCACTAATAGTTACAACCTATGAAAGAAAACGAAGCGAAAGATTAATGTAGTTCACGGTTTCTCGTTTTCAACAGGTTTTTTCCACTGTTTTGTCTTTTGTGTTCCTTGTTTCAACAAATAACAATGTTTTAGTGGTCATTTTTGTTCAGTGCAATTAATATTTTTAGTTATTTCATGTATTACGAAATTTTGACATTTGGTATGATTCTATTGCATTACCGGGGTCATTATACTTCCATTAGGTAATTAGATAATAGTAGAATCTTTATTACAAGGAAAGTTATTTCGACGAAAGAAACGTAAAACGGTTTAAAATAATAATTTTATATAAACACAGATGAACACAACAATATATTTTTCAGCAATATTCATTGGACTCTCATCAGCAGTAGGCATTACAGCTGGTGCTCATAGATTATGGGCTCATCGAGCGTATAAAGCAAAATGGCCACTCCGATTTTTTCTCATGCTCTGCCAAACGACTGCTTTCCAAGTAAGTATCGGTCTCCATTCTTCACCTCCAATAGTATTCAAAGAATTTATACATTAGTCTGAATTAATACAACAATAAAATAATATATTCTACTTTAGTAAAATATAACATAACGAAACAACAGTATTATTATATACCTTTATAACTTATAGATTATTTTAAACTCAATTATTGTCTTGTTTCTATTCATTTATGAATCTCATAAATTAGGCACACATAGTAATGTACATAACGTTTGAATATAAAAATCGCTAAGGTCAATATTTCGTTACCATATTTTAACCCTTTGCACTCGAGGGGCGCCTTACAGTCGCCATCTAATTTGACGCAGTAAACTTATGAAATTTTCAATTCAATATTAAACCTTGTGTAATGTATCAACATATAAAACATCGAAGTAAAATAGTTCTGTCTCTTAATTTGTAGAAGATCATCAATTGTGTTAGTTGCGAAAAATATCGTTAATATTCAGTCAGAAAGTAATGAATATTTTTAATGAAAAGTATTGTCAAGTGCAAAGCGTTAAATCATTTTCTATTTAAAATAAATTTGGAATTGTTAGCGACGCTTTTTACATTCTATTTTGTAACAAGTAAGGTAAATGTATTAGTTATTAACTAGTTAAAGTTATACAAACATGAATATTAAATATTAAATATTAAATATTAAATATTAAATATTAAATATTAAATATTAAATATTAAATATTAAATATTAAATATTAAATATTAAATATTAAATATTAAATATTAAATATTAAATATTAAATATTAAATATTAAATATTAAATATTTATAACGCAAATTTACTTAGTTTTTATAGTCTTAACTAGTTAATTACACTGTGGAACAAATTTTAACCCATTTTGCTTTTACAATAACCACTAGGTGATTCTTATACAGTTCCTTACCCTAAATACGAATCCCAAAATTGAATTCAGAATATCATTAGATGTACCATGTATAAAACCGATTATAGTGCTGTTTATCCGTTATATTATATTATATTAAATTATTATATTAAACATCAAATTATTTAAAACAGAACGATCGTGAAAAATACAGCGCGTAATTACGGCCCTGTATAGCTGTTGCCGGCGAGCAATGGCTGTGTGGCGCGAAAGTTCCGTGCTCGCGCTCTTCGTGGACATTTTCTTACCCTGTCCCAAAGAAAAACCGATCTCACGCTACCCGCGGGGGGTTCCTCTTCAGAAATATCTGCAGAATCTAATGGCGCATTGCAAATTCGTACTAGCCAACCCACTTTTTGTAGAAATGTAACAGAAGTGTATACAAAGTACGCGCATCTACCCTTTTTTAAACTTTGATCATCATTTACAAATATTTAATGATACGCAAAATTCAAAATTTTTATAGCTACATATTCGGGCAAGCCTCCTCTATTTTCTGCGATAAACTTTAACCGCCTATCGGTTTTAGTTTTCACATAACATTTGGTTTTCTGCAAAATTTGACTGTTTTTACAAAAACCCAGTTTTTTCGAAAACTCGACGTGACTCAGCAATTTGGTTTTGGAATTCGTATTTAGGGTAAGGAACTCTATAAGAATCACCTAGTTGTTATTGTAAAAAGCAAAATAGATTAAAATTTGTTCTACAGTGTTATTGGTACATTTACCTCACTCATAATTCTTGCGAACGTTCTCTGCAAGTAATTCTTGAAAGCCATACCTCTGAACGCCGAGTTTTACAGAACCATATCTACGAGTGGGTCAGGGATCACAGAGTGCATCACAAATTCACTGACACGGATGCTGATCCTCACAATGCGCAACGAGGATTCTTCTTCTCCCACATGGGCTGGTTGTTGGTCCGCAAACATCCCGAAGTGATCAGGAAAGGCGCCACCGTTGACATGAGCGACTTGGAACGGGATCCTATCGTAGTCTGGCAAAGAAGGTATATAAATATCTCTGTAATCCTTTCCTAGCCAAGCACAGTAATACCCCGATTAATCCTCAGGGCATATCCTCATTATTAGAAGATAAAATGTTCACGCTATATTGATGGATTTCTTCAATTTGGCAGATACTATAATTCGCAAACATTATTTGGTAAAAGTTTCTGTCGATTTCAATTACTGCAATTATATGAATGCAGATCCTAATTCTATTTTTAACATGTTGAATGCCGCACAACTGCACGTAGCAAAATATACGAAATGAAAGAAATAAAATATCAAACGATTTAATTTAATTGCGTTAGTAGTATTGCACGTTTATTTCGAATGTCATCGCATTAGGTAGCATTATTTATAATATAGAAATGTTTCCAAATAATCAGCGTTTAACACTATTTTTACGAAGGTTTCAAACGACACCTTCTGAAATTATAACTTAAAATTATTTTCTCAGTTTAATCATTTTTCTTCAATTGAATTGTTGTACATTTCATATAGTGAGTTTTATAATCGTTATTGCAAAAGTCGAAAAGTCAATTTAGGATATACGATGGAACATGGAAAATAATATTAAGTTAAAATTTCAAAAAGTGTTTTCTGACACCTTCGATAGAAATACTGTTAATTCGGTGAATTATAATAATTCGGTTTGATTGGGGGCCACCGATGATCGTCGTGGCATTCAACGTGTTAAATCTCTAAATGCGAAGATTTGTATGTATGAATACCTATATTTCTAGAAATAATACAATAAATTGTACACTAAATGTCCACGCATCTAATGCTGAAGGAAACAGTATTAACTGAAGTCATTTTAGTAGATAGTAAACAGGGTTAAGGAAATATACTACCGGGAATAAAAAAGTTTTACATTAAAGGAGTTACCGTTAAAGGGGTTTTAGTGTATGTCGATCAGAGAAAGCTTCATTAGTACTTATGAAACTATTATATTTAATTAAATATTATATTGAATGATATTGCTTAGGTATATTGTTTATTGAACTGTAACGGACTATTAACTGAAACTGGAAATGGTATACGGTTTTATTGGTCCAGTTCAGTAACCTGAACAGTAAGCTGCACGTTCATGTATTCAGAACCTTTCTTTTCTGATTTTGATAGATTGTACATCATCCTGATGCCGCTTTGTTCCTTCATCCTACCCATGTGGATACCAATTCATTATTGGGGCGAGAAGCCATTGAATGCTTGGTACTCTACCGTGTTCAGGTACACACTGTCCTTGAACCTCACATGGTTGGTGAATTCAGCAGCGCATATTTGGGGAATGAAGCCTTATGACAGGTGAATATAATATATTCTATAACTAGAAATACTAAAAATCTGTTTTCTATTCTGTTAAACGTAAAATAATACGAGTTTGAAATTGTTAAATTTTGTATGGATTAAACTCTTACAGTTTAATTCCTAATTCTTAAATTAAGAAGCTCAACTAGAAAACCAAAACTCTATCCTAATTTTGTCATTTTTAATTTTCATTACATTTTACATATTTATATAAACAGTTCAATGATTTCGTGTGTATATATATTATTATACTATTATTGAAACGATAAATAGATACAGTAATTTTCGTTTAAATTTTCAGTACTATCGGCCCAACCGAGAATCTTAGTGTCGCCATATGTGCAATCGGTGAGGGTTGGCACAATTATCACCATGTATTCCCCTGGGATTACAAAGCTGCGGAGTTAGGAAACTACAAGACCAACATCACCACGGCTTTCATCGATTTCTGCGGTCGAATAGGCTGGGCGTACGACATGAAAACTGTGCCTACCGAAGTTGTAAAAAAGCGGGCTGCTAGAACTGGTGATGGATCAAAGTAAGTGTTCCAATATTTTCTTTATTTTAACAGTGATATTTTAAAAATCCTATATAATGTTAAACTTTTTAAACTTTTTAAATTGTTTTTATAGTTTTTCAAAATCAATTATATAATTGTGACATTCTTATTCTTGCAAATGTATTATAACAATTTAGAACAATCGAGTAGTGGGTAGTACTAAAATATGTTTTTCAAGGATTCTTGTATATACAATTAAAAGAGAAGATAAATTATAAAATCAAAGAAACACTTGTGCAATAACATAAAAATAGCTAGAAATGGTTTACTTAATGTCTATGTAAAATTGTTTATAAAAACTTGTAACACTAGCCCATATTTATCTTACAAAGTTTATCTGTGTGAAAGATAAAGAAGATTTCAAACTAAATAAATTTCTTCGTTCCAACAGGTATCAAAAGGGTAATGGCCATACGCACAATCACGAGGGTGCGAAATGGGGATGGGGAGACGCAGACATGGAGCCAGAAGAGATCAAGGAAGTGGAAATTTTACACAAGAGCGAATAATAAATTACATTCAACGGATATTACAAGAACATTGATTAAAGTTCTTGGTAGATACGGCGTATAGATATAACGGCGATTGATCGTTCGCAACGTCAATTAATATTTGTTATGTACAATGATCATTGGTTGATTGTTTGGGAAATCGTTCGGCTCGAAATAAATTAATGAAACAGAAAGAAAAAGGGAAAGAAAAGTAAATCGCAGAATGTCTCTGTAACGTACGATTTTTCAAACGAACGGCCAGTTCCTTTGACACGACCGAGATCGAAAGGAGTCAAAGCGTTGAGCGGTACGTGTTAGAAAATGGAGAAAGAAAGAAAAAAAAAGAAATCGGAAGAAAAGTAAAGCGGCATTTGGTTTTCGAACGTTCTATCGAAGTTACACCGGTCAGCTGCAAACACGCGGAATCAAATTAATTCGTGGCCTTTTCGAAGATTATCGTTTCGAGAGATGCGAACGTTTTTATTATACGACTTCTCTGATGTATTTATATCGAAACGAGTCTGTCAGGTGTATGGTAAGTTTATTAATTAATCGATTTATCCTACTCGATCTGCATTAAACGACGCCGCGAACGATGAGCATTTATCAAGACCCGATCATAATGCAGTTCGAGTGACGTAGAGCTATTGTAACCAAAGCATTGTAAATTATATATCGATTGATCGACTAGTTTTTGGGTACTGAGGAATAAAGGAAAGATACATCGCGCGTAGCATCGTTGGAATCGTAAATCTTGACGATGGTCGAGCTGGGATCGCGTGAAAGTTTCTTCTGCGTCTAGCCAGTAGGATAATGAACTTTGTAAAAAAACTGCATATTTATTATAAACAACTTTGTTCTATTAAAATTTGCAATGTGTACTGACATTATTTATCGTTGGACCAGCCGGGAAACGTTCCTATTTAGTCTGATTCCATGAATTACTGTTATTGTCACTGTGACCCTACACACAGGTTTCCTTGTGCAATTAGGAACCGAGGTATCGAGATGTGTAATGAAGTAAAGTATTTAAACAAACGTCTCGTTCTGCCAGTTACTATGTTGAAAGAAATAGGATGATCGCATTCATAACTGAACATAGGAACTTTTTACTCGTTCAGGTAAAGTTAGTCTTAAAGCTAACTTTGCCGTGAGTGAATTAACATTGTACGAGATACAAAACGACATTTATGTCGGAGGTTTAAGATTACAATAGAAATACGAAAAAAATACATTTCATAGATATTGGTAATAATACAGCGTTACTTTTTTTAATACATAGATACACTTTGTATGTTCCTTTAAAATTCTCTATGAATATCCACGAATTATTATCATCTTCTCGAATTTCCGAATTCGAAGAATCTCGAACTTCCTTTAACCCTTTGCCGTATGATTTATTTTTTAACTATGGTCGATATAGCTACTTCATTATAAATAATTCATTAAGAAACGAAGAAATTTTGATTCTTATACTATGTCTACATTTTCTTCAAAGGTTAACGATTGATAATAGAAATGAAATATTTAACTATATTCAAAACAAATAAATAACACTTAGATTTCCCAAAGTTAGTTTAAAATCTTTATTACGAGTCTGACAGGATATTGTAGGTCAAGGGATTAATGTTCCTGCGAAAGGGATTTCGTACGCGATAAACAACTTTGAAATCACAGTGAAACTTTTGAAGAAGTATTCTCGCGATCCGAGCAGCATCAAAGATCTGGCGATTCAGGTCGATCGTACGAACAGTGGACTCGAGCTCGATCTTCGTTCGTTCGTCTTCCGCAAAATGTCTCTCGAGAAATCGAGCTCGAGTCGTTGGCGACGAACCCGGCTAGGACGGAGTCAATTAAAAGCGTACAATTTCAGCCGTGGCGATCGACGAACACGAGCGAAATTATCGGACGTGTCGTGCAGACGACAATCGTTCTTTGATTAGAAAGAAGAAAAAAGAAATAAAGAAAAGAAAAGAAAAGAAAAGGAAAGAGAAGAGGAGAAAAGAGAAGAGAAGGAAAGAAAAGAAAAGAAAAGAAAAGAAAAAAAAATCACCAACAGCGACAAGTGCGACAATCCAACATCGACGACTTGCCTTATGACGCCCCGTTCTTCCTGTCGCGCGAATCCATATATTTCCATGACATTTATCACGATAAATTCGAAACGCATAAACGAACGCACAGATTGTCACGCAGATAATTTGAAAATCTTCTATTTTCAACGTTTGTTTCGAACGATTACTGTGCTTTTGCAGTATACACTATTTTATTTATTTCTTATCGAGAATATTACAGATCATTTCACAAAAATGACTGTTAGGTCTGCCGGAAAGTTCTGTCTGTTGTTGAATTAAAAGAAAATAAGATACTTACCAATATTTACTGAACAATATAATTTCCATCCTTACTAACACTAGAATTACTGTAATAGTCAAAATGACTGGTTTCAGTTTCCTTGTTTCACAATTATTGGTACTTTAAAAGAATTGAATATTCGGAATGACTTCGAAAATAAATAGTTTCATTTGAATACTATAACAAATATCCGAAGAAACTGAAAATATTCTATTGTTACAGTTTTTATAGGAATTACATATTGATCGTATTAAATGCTTGGTAGTTCTAGTGCTAATGACCTGCTCCCAGCGTGATTGTAAATTGTGAATTCCGTTTCTGTAGAATGATTCTCATCTTTGGAAACTTGAGATAACGTTATCGGATAGAACTTTTCGTTGGGCCTAGTATTAATAATTATATAATGCGCTTAAAATGTCTAACGATGACAAAAAAAGTTCTTCATTTGACAAGTGTGTATGAGATAAGAACAAACAATATGTTAACACTAAACGTACCGGCACTTTATATACACCTATTTCTACCGTAATAAACTTTTCTTAGCGAATACAAAAACAAAAGCAAAGACGAAAATTAAATAATTGATTTATCGAACAGTATAAGAACTGATATAAAGTTAAATAGACGAAAGAAAATGCAAAATTTGTAAAGTTTGAAAACCGGTCATTCGATTGGTCGCAGTATTTTTAGTGTTAAACGAGGAATTCATTCGATATTATTCTCCAGTTGTAAGTTAACCTTCTAAGAGCTCGTGTGATTTTAAAACTACATATCAATATATTAGCATTTTGTTGACTTACTTCATTCTATTATACATAGCAAACGGGCGAATAAAATGAAGTAATTAATTAACTTAAACTTTTATACGCTCATGCGTGAAAATTCAATGTCATTATAATTTCCAAATCATAAGGTATATTCGTTTTAATACAATTATTAAAATCGTTGTACACATTGTTAATTTGTATTTACAGTTTGATATTTGTTAATTTTATCCTACATACATTTTTTTATAGTGACGAAACAAAGTTCGACCTATAGAGGGTTAATGAAAACTTATTTGAAGTGGAATTTCTTAAGGACTTTCTCGGACTGTGAATATGGATTCCTACGACACGAAGATTAATCCTATAGTAATCACGGAAGTAGTCTCGGCACCAATATTTAACCGTGAATTTTTCAAGCATCCCTGGAAATATTCTTCGCAGTCCTATTCTTCCTCGACTGATTATTATTGTAACGCGACACGCACGGAGGACGTAATATTTCTTTAAATAACTTTCTAGTAACCGTAGTTTTTACATATTTGATAAATCACAAAAAACAATATGTATAAACATATTAGAGACAGGCACAAATTTATTCGTATAGGTAAGGTGCGTGTTTTGAAAATGAAGTACTGACTATTCAGATTCTAGTGCTTTCATTCTGATTAAAAGTTATTTGATTTTTTATTAGTAATGTTCCTTGTAGATATTCAATCTGCTCATCTTTGATACGCACATTTATCGAGGACTATTTTCTTTATGCAGAATCTGTACGCACGTGATATACAAAATTAATGACAAAAGTAGAATTGTCATTGTTAGCGTTATTTAATGATAATGGGGAAAATAAAATAAATTAACATTGTCCATAGAGCGTCTTAAGTTTAAGAATAAATTTATACAGGAGAAAACAACGCTGATTGTTTACGTATTAAATAAATGATTATAAGATTGCAGAAAAATTTAATTCTCCAGCATATTCGTGTGAACGGTTCTTAATATTTAATAATTCATAATTTAAGTGAATCAATTTTATGGACAATGTATATATTAGAAGTAATAGTGTCTCTAGTGGAGACTTGTATAAAATGTATAATAAGTCTGACAACAAACAGTCTGCTTCCACTGGCACATTTAATTTGGCTTTCTTCTTGCACTTGACTGTTATCATATCATATTCTGTATCTTTTAATACATACATTATCTTGATAATTGTATTGACATGTTTCATTAACGATAATTGAGTTGATCGAAAGGATTTACGAGCTTATCTCCAATTGCTTTGAAGAGCTTCCATTTTGACGTGTTAAGTAGAAATTCAGTCGTAATTATTGAAACGTCCTTTAACTTATTAGTACCTACTATACTTTATATCAAAGTTAAAGTTATAAATCAGTTTATATATTTCAAATCATGTTGGTCGTGAATCAGAATATTTTTCATTATTTCTATTACTGAACGTGGAAGATTCGAAGCCGATTTGCTCACAGGTACATTATTCTGTATAAAAGAAATTAGTTTTCAATGGATAGATAAGAGAAAATCCGCTACACTTCGATCTCACAAACGAATATTTTAAAATCCAGGGAGCGAAATATTGTTGGACTCTTAGAGTTCGTATATAAGAAGAGAATAAGAACACACAATGAAAGCGTAGTGTGTAGGAATTAGTTGAAAGCGTAATATAGTCGTTTTCGTTGCGCGCATACGTTTCACTACGGACAATATCAATAACTTTCAATGTATTTATAAATAAATTATTGTTATCCATAGAAATTCTTGTCACAATGATTCAACGCCATCCTGACCTTTGAATTTTCACTACGACAAATTAAATATGTTCGATAATAAACTTACAATATTTACTGTAGAAGAAATAAAACGTAATTTTTGAACTTTTACATATAAGTAAAATAAAGCAATGGACTCTATTAGGTAGCAACAAAGGTTTTCTGTTGGCAATGAATTAATGTCCGATTTCAATCAGTATTTCACTAATTAGCTTAATGAATGACATTGGTATTAGTAGCAAATTATGTTTATGCCATTGACATAAAATAAAATAAAATAATTTTACAAAAACGTTCTCTGTGTTTAAATTTTGATTTAAAAACCCGCACGAACTTTTTCCGGTACTTAATACATATAAAAACAATAAAAAATAGTTCCTATATATAATCGTATATTCTATTCGATCTTGTTCTTTGGTATTTCTCTTTTGTAAACACTTTCTTGTTAGTGTCCCTTGCGCTAGGTCTTATTAATTAAGAAGAAAGCTATAAAATTTAATAGATTAATTGTAAGAAAATTATCTTTGAATTTATTTAATTAATAAGAATTCCCTCAAAATTATTAATTACAAAAAAATGTATGAAATTTAATAGATTAACTGTTTAACTCCTTGCTCTATGATTCTTTCCTGAACTGCGATCTATTTAACAACTACTTTGTTATTAATAATTTATTAAAAGTAAGACGAAATTCTAGTCTTATTCTATGTCAATATCTGTTCTAAAGTATAATCACTGATAACAGAGGAATAATATGTAATTTGCATTAGGAGAAATTGTAAAATATTTATGTTTATTAAATTCTATTTGAAGTCTTCACAATGAGTCTAACAAGACATATACGGCAAGGGGTCAACACTAAAGTTTAAAAATTTCATTTAAAATTCTGCGTTTTCTGTCATTTATGTAACTTTATATCAATTATTCTTCAGTTAATCGGTTTCTCAAGGCTTCTATTTCTTCTTGTTTCTGTTTTCATTAAGGGAAATTTATTGTTTGTCCTGTTTATTTTTATTTTGTAACCAATTATTTGACTAGTTACTATAGGAATAGCAATACACAAAGAAACAGTACGTTTAGTGTTAAAATATCAGTATTCTATGTGACGATATAAAGAAGTTGATTATTGGTGTTCGAAAATGTCTGTACACAGATCGTTTCTCAAGAAGACTCGTACCTCATAATAGAACTGTTCAAACTATAGAAAAACGTCTTTCTGAGACTAAATCTTTCTGAGACTAAATACCTGGGAAATGGAGTGGATAATACAATCGACATTAAAACTTGTCTAAACGTGTATTCTGATATATAAATTATGGATTTACACATATTCTTATTTTCGTGGATAATTTTACTAAGAATTACAAGCAAATCAAAATGTACCTTAATAATTCTAAAATATATTAAGTTTGAAGTGAAATAAAGTACTTCAATCATTCTGATTTATCCTTTTATTTTTGAACGTCTTTTTTAAATTTTATTTTTGAATCGTGAAATATTTTTAAACTACTAGGAAAGTTACAACTTACGTGCAGATTATTTGGAATAATCACCTCCTGTTCTTTAAATATATCAATGTTAAACACAAATTTCGAAATACTACGATGACACTGTAAGTCACACACGATGAAATTAATCTGTCTTTCAATTATTGCGTTACGTTACGCTATTTGTAAATATTTCCACTGCCCATTCAAACCAAACACTTCGCTAGCCTCTATTACGCAATTCAGCAATACGATTCTGTTCGTTGACTGTAACACCTGAATGTTATGTTTGTCCGGTGAATTTTATTTCATTTATTTTAGACCCTTGAGATGTTTCTATGAGTTGCGTGAAACTCGCAGGAGGTCATTAGCGCGCTCGACGATTTGCATTTCGCAGTTTCACTGCAGAGGACAGAAGCGAATCTTGGAAAAGATGAATATCCTGTGTTGAAAGTACTCAAAATTAAGTGCAAGAATGAAACCTTTACTTTATTTTTTTATTTAATTTCTCAGTTAAGTGCGAAAAAAGGAATCTTTAATTCATCAGAGAACCAAATGATCCAGAGAATTCACGTGTATAAAAAGGAGAGGATATTTAGTACATGATTGTACAATAATTTACAGAAAGTTATTTATGAAAGAAAAGTTAAATCTGACAATATTTAAGTTTACTATGATTCGAAAAGGAATTTTTGTAATAAAAACAGTTTTATTTAGTAACATTGTAACTAAATAATTACTGACAATCACATTTGTTTTAAGTTTTCATTGCTACATGTGCATAATAGCTACATAATACATGATACATAGTTATCTTCTATCGAAGTATTTACAAACAGCGTTTCTATCGTGTAGGGGCGGTAACGAAGATAATTGATTTTCTAAATCAATTTCGTAACTCAATACGAATCTAGAACGCTATTCTCTTGTTTACTAAAAGATACATGTAGGAAAATAGTAGTTAACAATTTATATAAGTGATACGATTTTAACATTTATCCGCCTCTTAAAAAATATCACAGTAAAAATCAATCTCGATTTAGAACGAAAAAGGCTCTAGGGCCTGATCAAAGTTAAATAAATAAACTGAATGCGAAATAACAGAAACTGATGAACCAAAAATACTGAGGATACGATAATAGAAGATAGAGGAAGCAAATAGAAGTACGAAATGAAAGAGAAAATAAATTCTTGTAAATACAAAATTGATGAAAGATTTGTTATCTTTTGTAATCTAACTGGTAAACGAAAAGAAACAGTCAACAGTTATCAGATACGTGAGGTCTTGAAAACTACATTTTTATAATTCTAACAAAAAATTGTATACTAGTCATTTAAACTGATCGAAACATGCAAGATAGAAATAAAGGAAACTTTGGAAATAAAAATTACTTAAATTTTCTTTACTTCCCTGTCGTATTCTCGTACAACTTAAAAATGAACAAATATTTATAATTTAATGACATATAACCTGAACATGGATAAACCTTTTGCAGGTATATAACCTGAATATGGATAAATCTGTTGCATACATAAGTTTAAGCATCGAATTTTCAGTAGAGCATTAAGCAGTGTCCATCAAAAGTGTAATCCGCGAAGATTTTCAATATCACGGAGAAGTTCTACTTCAGTTTCTTTAATATAGTCACGAGTCAACTATCGCGGAATTACGCATTAGTAATTCGGCCCAATTAGTCAAGACTTTGCACACAGCTCGTCTCCACGTTGCATCCAATTGAGAACAAGTCTCTCTTATCGTGCGCTGGGTGTGCTTTTTGCAGTTCTCATTCAATAATCGACGGTAGAAGAACCGCGCGCATCTCAGTCCAATTTATTTTGAAAAGAGGGAAACAATACGAACATCGTGTCGCAGTGACCTCCGCAGTGGAAAGTACAAGAAGGTTGTTAGAAGATCTACTTTCGAATTTTAGTTACGCTGTTTTCAATGGAATTAATTATTTTTTCGCGTTAGGGTTGCTCTAAGTATGGACGCCATCTTGAATGTTCACTACAAATCTTCAGTCAACTATTTTAAACACTTTTGTTTGATAGATATATTTGACCATACAAATATTTTCAGAATATCATTTACTTTAATATATTTAATTATTTTATTTATTTTATTTTATTTAATAAATCGATACACAGATTTAGAACTATACTAGAAAAGCATATTATGTTTAACCACAGTAATAAAATACATAATTTTTATTACTAAACAAATATACTTTTTTACTTAAAATATTACTTTCCTAACACAGGAAAGCATCTTTATACTTAAAGTACTAATTTTAAAAAACATTTTTCAAGCAAGAATACGGAGAACTTAGTGACATGAGAATTATTCTCCTCAGAATGAATATTTCCAAAAATAAACCTGTCCAACGTTAAAACTACAACTGACTTAAATATACTTTAATACTTTATCAATATATTATCAACACTTGTCGTCAATCGATAAAAAAACTATTATTATTACATGACGCAAAACTGTACCTAATTTATGGAACTAGGTAAATTAAACGTGATAAAACTCTAAAAACTCGAAATAACGGAATGTAAATCGTGACAAGAAATCTATTGGACATCCTTGAATTGTAGAAATAGCTGACAGAATGGAACGCGACCAGTCAAAGATCACCAAACGATCGATACTGATTTCCGAACGAATCCAAGCTAACCCAAACAGTGTGTTTTTCTCTCTATTAGCTAATCACTGAAAGAGAAAGTAAAATGTTCGGTTTTAGGGATTCGTGAACGAATTTTCTATAGCGCAAACGCCGATTTTCGCCAGATCGCACGCGGCGTACGTGAAGTTCGGTTTTCCCAGCAAAAGCAGACGGCCAGCCAGAATCCAGTTTATCTTAACAAGACGCGATAAACAATCGTTAATAGTACAGACGAGCAGAGTCATCCGATCGCCATCAAGATTATATTGAGGTAACTGCGCCTTATAAAACGGAGAATGGCGTTCCGATCGAACTGGATTCGGTGATAGTGTTTCGAAGAGAGCGGTTTCTTTGTTTCCGGATCTCAGCGAATCGTCCAGTTTTACCGAAGGCAACTATCATTCAATTGCGCGAGTTAACTATGGACAAAAGACATCTCGCGACCGTATAAAATCGTAGTCAAATTGATTCAGCGCTGAGCGCCGTGTCAGTGTTGCGTGGAAACATCGGTGGCGTTTTGTGGGCGCACGTTGCGCTAGACGCCGTGAAGTCAGGTGAACGAGACTAGTTCGATAAAGTTCTCATACCTTTTTCAATATTTATTTCCTCCGACGTTAGACGAAAATATTGACGCGACGTTTCGTTTACGTTCATAACAGTACTGATAAACGGGGAATCAACTGCGAGTTTAGGTTTACTCTTTAACCGTATCTCGCTAACCGTATTCTCAATAGTGAAAGTGACAAAGTTAGGAGACGTTACGTTAAACGGGACGCGTTTAAGTTAAACGAAAGCGTAATGCTACTATGTAATACTGTCACTTTCCGTAGTAATTTTGTAATTTTCAGTAGTGCTTCAATTTTAATTGTAATTGGAAATCTATTGTTGGGACTATAATGTGTACCGTCAAGGAAGATGTAAGGGTGTTGGTTCTGTTTAGTTTTGGATTAGCAAAGATGTGTATTGAAAAAACTGGGGCAGATTTTGCAGGTTTTAACAAATCACTGAAATTAACAAATACTTAATTCTTAGTATTTATTGTTTTTTCGTGACCATGTTTCTGATTAATAATATATACTATGTTTATAATGTTAAAATATATGAATAACGGCAATATTTGCTGCGATAGTAAAATAGTATAATCACTTCAAGAACTACAGTTAGTGACTCAGAAACACATTACGCAATTGGTGTATCATTTTCATATTTCGCATTTCACATTTCGAGTAAAATACCGGTTCAAGTATTGCTGAACATGTAAAAAATGTCCGGATATAAACTTTATCAATATGATTGAAAACAAATTATATGTGTAATGTAATTAATCCTTCATTCATAATTTTAATATTTAATACATTAATTACTAGCGATTTTATCATTACAATAATATCGTAAAAATTTATCCACTTAAGTACTAAGTATTAACAACAGTTAAATATACTTCTATTTTCAATTTCTACTTATTTTTCTTTTATTTTAATATCGCCTTATTAAAAATACTAATAAATTATCCATAAAATCTTAAACAATGACGTATGACTAAGAGCGTCTAAAAAAATGTTGACACCGTTTTCCTCTCGAATTCTGATCGTGTTTCGATTTATTTCAAATTTCCCGCCTTTAATTTATACCTTTATTTCCTTCGTCAGGAAACGAATTAAGATTTCGCAATTTCATAGAAATATTTTCGCAACTCGTGGAAGCTATTTTGATTGAAAAATCGGTTCAATGATCGTTGGATTTTCAGGTGAAATTTGCGTTTTCGTCTGTGGTTCATGCGCACTGGATGGAGACGAAGGTGACAAAACGAAATTCTGGTGGCGCTGCGCATCGCCGCGTTGCGTATTCATCACCAGGGACGCAAGTACACCGTGGAACTGGTCTGCTCTGGTTCACGTGCAGCGTCTGTTTCATTTTAAGTCTAATCTGCATATGCTTGGCTACGTTGTTGGTTCTCCTCGATCAGAAAGTCGAAGCCGCCAGCTATCAGTACTGTGAGTCTCTCCTTAACGCGTTTTAGTATAGCCGCCATCGGCGACGTTTATTATGATTATTAATGCAATTAATTTGTCATTATAAATATTTTGCCCGCGATGGCACATCTTCGACTCATGCCCACTTAAACGTGCGTCCTCACCAATCGTTAATAAAATAGAGACACACGTGACCGCAATTAAAGAATGGCGGGAGATTTGAAAATCTCTTTCATGAAACCGTTCCACGCATGATTGAATCCTTTTTAAATTCCTTGTTTAGAATTTTGTTTAATTTAAAATGTATCGTGATCTGCCAGGAAAATGAGGGAGGGAATTTAAGTTATTATTTTACTGATTTAGAAATTGACTAAGAATTATGGATTATCAAAGTTTATAATTTTCGGATTTTTATGAAAGATAGTTTCAAAAAAGAAATGTTATCTTTGCAATTAATATTAAACTTTAGGAGTTCTAATTTTTTGTATTAGAGTAAAGGTTTGCTTTCCTTTGATCTGCTGTTTGATGTGTTCGTAATAATTGGTAGAAGGATTACAAATTTTAGAAAAAAAATGTCTTTGCATATATATTTTAAATACGGTTACTGTTCGAACTTCTTTTGTTGTACAGTATCGTGGTTTCAGGAATAAGATTATTAATATAGAATGGTGGTTGAAGTTTTATTGTTTTTCTGCATTCTAATTCTTTTACTATATTGAAATATTATGTTTTTACTAAATTCTACATAATTTTGATGATTCGCTGGTATTTGTAAAATGTTTGTATTGTTAATAAAACATGAATCCAAATCACTATTTCTATAACGACTCTGAAATTGTCAACAGTCCGGGCTGCGGATTTTTATGCAAATTCACTTTCTCTCAATCTAAATAATTGTGGATGCAGAAATTAAAAATAACCTCTAAAATAACCTTCCTAACCCATTAAATACGTAAAACTGGTTGTAAGATATATCCATAGAAAATATTTACAATAATTCATATAAAACAATAATAAATTTACTCAAAATAATTTCAAAATAATACAATGCGAGGTAAAATTACTAATTTACTGTTATTAATTATTAATTCTGCAATCATATTTTTACATCAAAATACTTAAATTCTGTTTAAGTCCTTTACATCCTTAAATTCATACCGATTGATGTTCCCAGAGCTTACGATAAAATCCAACCGATTAATGTTTTCGGAGCTTGTGATAAATTTAAATCCAATTAATGTTTCTGGAGGTTGCGATGAAACCCAATCCGATTAACGTTTTCACTAATGCAAGAGAAATAGGAAGCTTACTTTGAACTTGACAAGTGTCCTCATTTGATTGTGTGTTTCAGTTGCGTCAGGTGTAAATGCACACAATCCGCAGTCTACGGTTTAGCCAGAGTCCGCTAAAATATGTACGGTCAAACGCATCGTTCGTTTTTCCCGCGATCTTTCCCCAAGACCGTTGCCTTATCAATGCCTCGACACGTTTATCAAAATCCCAAGTGAGCACAAGAGGCCAGCCCACCGTGCGCAATGTCCATCCAGCATCTGTTTCGTTCTCAGCTCACGCCATCATGAATAAGGAACCGATTGACGAGCTGACCTTCCGGCTGCCGCAAGGCATCAAGCCGTTGCACTACGATGTCTACCTGCATCCGGACTTGGAAAAAGGCACCTTCCAAGGTAAAGTGACGATTCTGATCGAAGTCTTCGACAGCAGGAGTTACATAGCCGTTCACCAGAAGGATCTAAACATCACCTCCACGAATCTGAAGACCCACAACTGGGAGAAGAACTACGAGATCGAGGTCCTGAACACTATAGAAATGCCAAAGAATGAGATGTTCGTGGTATCCACGAAAGACGAGCTTGAATTGGGACTGTATAACTTGACTTTCGAGTTTAATGGCGCACTGCAACCGGATAAGATCGTTGGATTTTATTCGAGTAAATACAAGGACGCGCAGAACCGTACTAGGTGGGTTTTGTACATAGTTACATGTATGAATGTATTTTTCGTTTTGTTCTTCGATTTTTAATAGATTTTGAGATTATCGGGATTTTGTTGCTGACATCTTGTTAATAATTGTCCGCAGGTATATCGCTACCTCTAAGTTCGAGCCAACTTACGCTAGAAGAGCATTCCCGTGTTTCGATGAACCAGCATTCAAAGCTGAGTTCACGGTGAAGCTTGTTCATCCTACTGGCGACTGCTACAGTGCCTTATCTAATATGAATGTTAAGGTAAATATAATTACTCTTGATTTCTTTTTAATATCTTTTATTTTGTCATTCTTTTTTTATTATATATCTTTTATACGTATATGTATACCATTAAACTTGATAATAATTTTGAGATAAAAATGTAAAAAAAATCATTCCTCTAGGTAGGGTAATTCTGGTTGAAGTGGCCTCATCACGTTTAGATTGTTAGATATTTTCAGTTGATCTTAGTGTTGTAGTGAATCTTGTACAGAGGCTTATTTAACTATTCTCCTTATTTGCGTTTTCTTTTATAAGTATATATGTATATGTTTTTTTGATAGGTATTAATGATATATATGATGTGGTAGTTCTTTTAAGAAAAGTGGGCCAACTCTCTCCAATTTACTCTATTGTATCATACACAATTGACCCCTCAGATCATACAATCAGCAGTAACTGAAAATAGCACATAGAATATATTTCATAACTCAAAATCGTTCAATTGAAATCAGTTAATTGAAGAACCTTATATAATGTTTTAATGTCTATTAATTGTTTAATACGATTTAGAGTACTGAAATAAACGAACCGTCTCCCGGATTGACGACAGTGACTTTCGCGAAGAGCGTGCCAATGTCTACGTACCTATCGTGCTTCATAGTCAGCGACTTCGTCGCCGTTTCTAGCATGGTAAAGAACCATGATGGCCGCGAATTTCCGGTCAGCGTGTACACCACGGCTGCTCAAAAAGAAAAGGGTACTTTTCCCCTTGAAATAGCTGTGAAGGTGATCCAGTACTACATCAGTCTCTTCCATATTGGTTATCCGTTGCCAAAGCTTGGTAAGCTAAGGTTAAGTTCCAAATATGTTTTATTTGTAATATTTTAAAATTGATTTAACGATAGTTTCTCTTTTGTCTAATTTTTTTTTGTCTAATTTCGTTTCGTAGATATGGCAGCTATTCCTGATTTTGTATCCGGTGCAATGGAGAACTGGGGGCTAATTACTTACAGGGAAGCAAGACTATTGTACGATAGTAAGACCAGTTCCACTGCAAACACGTATGATATTGTCAGCGTGATCAGTCATGAACTCGCACATATGTGGTTCGGAAATTTAGGTTCGTTGAACTGCAATAGATAATAAATAATTAATTATTTTTAAAATTATTTTTAGTTCTAATTTATATTGTTACTCATATATTCCATAGACACTTAAGTCAGAGTACATAGACAATAATAAAATTTTATTTTAGTCATTCTTTATTTTACATTTTATAGTTACTATGTCCTGGTGGCACGACCTGTGGCTCAACGAAGGTTTTGCGTCCTTCATGCAGTATAAAAGCGCTAATGCAGTTCTTCCAGACTGGGGATGGGTGAGTTCTATGACAAATAATTTTTTAATATTCGCTTAACAACTTCTTTAAATCAATTTTTGTGTCACGAAGTTGATTATTATATTGAATTTCGATTAATTATAAAAGTAGTATTCAGTACATTGTTTTTTAAGAATTAATTGAAGTCAATTTTACAATTTGAACAAGACCAACACTCATTAAATTAGATTCTGTTAAATTTTTAAGCAGGAATGAATTTATTTCATATCATACGATTTCAGATGGAATTGTTCCTAATCGAACAAATGCACACTGTTTTCGTAACTGATTCGAAATTGAGTTCCCACCCGATAGTTCAGACTGTCAATAACCCTGATGAAATCACTGCCATTTTCGACGATATATCGTACAAAAAGGTATGTTATTTTGAAATCGTTCAATTAATTACAATTTTACGATATAATTGATGTGATTGAGATATATCGCACTATTTTAACTTTTTTCTATTTAAACATCCTTATTTAATAAAAATTCTTTCTGTATGCACTAATATAAAAGAATATGAAATGACATTTTATTAAAATGTTTTCATTTTTTATATTTAGGGATCGTCACTAATTCGAATGATGGAGCACTTCATTAAAGCCGACGCCTTCTACTTCGGAATCTACAGGTACCTAGACAAATTTACATATGGCAACGCAGAAACAGCAGATCTGTTCAAAATTCTCGAAAATGTCTCTCCGGTTCGTTTGAACGTTACCGAAATCATGGATACATGGACCAGGCAAATGGGTTTCCCAGTGGTTAACGTAAAGAAATCCGAAAACAAGTACATCCTAACTCAGAAACGGTTCCTGGCTGATCCTGACGCTGAATTTGACTCGTCAGATTCCGAATACGGTTACAAATGGACTATCCCCATTACCTACATCACAAATAAAACGTCCGAGCCAACTCTCGTGTGGTTCGACAAAAACGCAACTGAGTTAGTAATCGAATTAAACGACACAATCGACTGGATCAAATTCAACGCGGAGGAAGTTGGTTATTACCGCGTTAATTATGAACCGTCCGAATGGGAAACTATTAACCATCTTCTCAAATATTACCACAAAAGATTATCAGTATCGGATAGAGCCCATCTTCTTGAGGATGCATTCAGTTTAGCAGCTGCTCAAGAACTTGATTACGGTGTTCCTATGAACATGACAGCGTATCTTTCTCAAGAACACCATGCGGTTCCTTGGAAAGTAGCTGAATCAAAACTGACAGCTATTGACACTCTGCTATCGTCGACTAACTTATCATCGAAATTCAAAAGATACGTAAGAGACTTAGTAGACAGCGTCTATCATGAAGTAGCTTGGCAAGTGGAACCAACCGAGGATCGTATCACTCTGAGACTTAGAACGTCCGTTCTTGGGCTAGCTTGTTCCGTGGGACACGAAGAGTGTCTCGAAGACGCTGGCCAGATATTCACGAAGTGGATACAAGATCCAAAAGACATTCGCCCTCATCCCGACATCCGTGCGCTAGTTTACTATTACGGAATGCATAATATTGGCGATGAAGCGTCTTGGAAAATTATGTTTGATCGATTCGTCGCTGAAACGGACTCGACTGAGAAACTAAAGCTGATGAGAGGATTGGCAGGAATAAGGTCTACTTGGATCTTGAATAAATTCATCACGACAGCTACCGATGAGAATTATGTTCGATCTCAGGACTTCTTTGGTTGTCTGTCTGCTATTTCAGGGAATCCAGTTGGAACTCCTTTGGTGTGGGATTGGGTACGATCTAATTGGGAGTTTCTCGTGAATAGATACACTTTGAATGATAGAAACCTTGGCGCTTTAATCCCTGGAATTACTAAGACCTTCGCTACAGAGACGAAATTAAATGAGATGAAGGAATTCTTTGCAAAGTATCCAGAAGCGGGCGCTGGAGCAAGGAACCGTGCTAAGGCGCTTGAGACAATTTCGAACAACATGAAGTGGCTCGCTAAAAACACTGATAGATTGGAGGATTGGTTGAATAATCACGTGAAAAGTAATTGAGCGTGACGTACGCGTGAAACGTTGATGATTTACGCCAAAGAACAATTCCTTTGGAAGGATTTGAAGAACGGGCGAACGGATCGTGTATATAAATAAAATAATACTCGATGATTCTGAATTATTGTCGGGAATGTTTGTTGTAATTGTTTTAATGTGTGGTTGTCAAGGGTTGTCACTTTGGATAGCTACAGTGATTAAAAATTTCAGTCATTAAACATTTTTTGAATTTATGTTCTTTAGAATTATTCTTTGTAACAATATCTTATATTCCGAGACAATAATTTAGAATCACTTGATATTGTAAGAGTTTTGAATGGAAGACCAGTGTCGAAGAAACGGGGACAACGAATCCGTGGGACTGAAGTTGTTTATTTGCAATACTGTTAAAAAATCAAAAGGCCATACTTATAAATATTCATAACTGTTGATATTCTCTACATCGAAATTTCTTTATAATAAGATGTCTGTCGTAACATCTACAGTTTTACATTTTACTGGGAGAAAAAGAATTCAGAAGAATTTGTTCTTCAAGCGTTTACCGTTTTATTCAAATGTCGAACACGAAAACCGATCAGGGTCCACCGAATGCATTTAGCTTGTGAATACATTACCTCGTCTGTTTTGTATGAAACGTAAGATTATATGTCTTCAGCTTATGTTAAATACATTTTTTTATGAAACATTTGTTTGTGTTTATATTTCTGTGTCCATTGTTATTACTTATCCCATCGTTTCTTAAGTCCCGTCGATCAAAATATGAATACCATAATGAATTAAATCATTTATTAATTTAATTAGTTTTAATTATTTATGATTAAATGATTACAAGTATCAACGCGGAAAAGTGAAAACGAATTGAATTTAAGCGGGTCAAGGATACTGGGGAACGGCGGTGAATGACAGCAAACGATGCCGAACAGTGGTAAGTTGTGGAATAAAGGCAAAAAACGACGGACAAAGGCGAACAACGACGAACAAGGGCGAATAGTAGAAGACATTAGCAAGCTTCGCTGAACAGTGGCGGAATGCGATGAAACGCGCAGAACTGCAACGACGACAGTGAAGAGTGGGGCAGCAGGGAGCATTGACGAGCAGTGCAGCAAACGTAATGTTCAGTTTACGGCGATTCGCCGAACCTAAAAGATCGCTTTGTAACTTGGAAATTATTAGACCTCCTACTGTCTCCTGAACCTTCCTGCAGCTTCATTCATAGCAATGAGGAAGACCTGTATATTGAAGTTTTCTCTTCTCCCCTTTTGTACTATAACATTCCTGACTGATTATGAATGATCAAGGATACTTAAGCAGTTTTCTGAACTTACTCTTCTATACCCTAACCTGATCACTACTGATTAGTAATCAATGGTCAGCAGTGATCAAGAACACTTCTATGCACTTTCTAGGTGATGACTTCATTGTGATCGATAAAATCTCAATCGTATTTCTTTTTGAAATATTTAAATAATTATTCTCTAACTTAATTCTGTGAAATAATGCGTTTGACAATTGTTTGTTCTCCTTGACCTTATCATATGAGTGATGCCAAATTCTAAGACGTTGTGCTTAATCTTTTCCTCTTTGCTTTAAAAATAAAATTTATTGTTTAATTTTTATTATTATTATATTATTTTGTAATAACAATAATTACGTTCACTTATTTTATGATTTTGAAGCAACCATTTGACAACTGTATCCCGATAGTTTTTCAATTAATTTGCCATTTCTAACTGTGCCTCCAAATGACCCAGTCTTCGAAGTAAAGGGCAAAGTGCACGTTGTGTGGAATGGTCAGCGCTGACACGATCACCTTTACTGCGTTTTGGGATCCCACTCGTCGTAATCCGTCTAGAGTCCATTCTACGCTTGTCATAGCCTAGGGCAAAATATTGGGAGTATTGGAAACCTAGGCAAAGATCCACTCGGCCTTTCCCATTGAGAAGGACATCTGGAGATCTGATCTGCTGACCCTGAGTGCTTGTATCTACGATATTCATTGCATATCTTCCTCTTTTTAGAATCAGATACTTCTTTCTCTGATTTATCTTACTTTGGAATTAAGGATTTCTTCCTTGATACTTTCCTTTTTCCCTCTTTTTTTCTAATGATTTTTTGGCATAGACTACATGAGAAGATCAATGAAACTCTGATTCTATTTAATTTTTTCATTCCGTGTTATGTCTAATTTTAAATTATCAGTAAATGTACCAACACTTTATATAAAGTTAAATGATTGAAAGAAAATGTAGAATTTTAAATCAAATTTTAATACCGGTTAGTTGACCGGTTGCAATACGTTTACTATTAAGTTCAGGAAGGAAGACATCGATAATCCACTGATGAATATTTTTTTTTAATTATTTTAATATAGGCACAACTGAGAAGACATTAACTGAAAGATTAGTGTTAAGTGTGATAGTAATAAGTTCGCTAGCAATAAGATCACTAGGTTAAGAAGAGAAAGTTGATAGAACTGTGTTTCTATGTTTAATCTTCTTAAGCCTTCGCTTGTAACAATCTCTTCATGGTGAGTCCTGGGTAATCAGTATTATTGTTGATAGAGTATTGTTAAACGAAGATAATACCAAGTTAATGGCTGCGAAGTTAGAATTTATTGCGCTTGTTACAGATATAATGAAATGAGAACCATGGTGGTTCAATGAAGAACACGTATTTTCCAGAATTTAATTGATCAATCAACTAATAATGACTAGTTGCTCTTACTTATAATTACTTAAAATTGTAATATCGTTTACTTCCAAGTAGTCAAACTTTTCATTCCAGTGACGAATGATGATAGTTACTTTCATTCGGTTTGTCCAATGAAATCGATTCATTTAATTACATTGACATAATTTCCCTTATTCTGTCACCTTCTGTTCGTATTCAGCCAATTCAGGTCCCATAATTGCGGAGGATTAATTTTGGCTTCCATTCGTTCAATGATTCAATTTACGTTTATTTTGTCAATAATAGATCAATTGACCGAATATCAGACCTCTGGGGTGACAGAGTTATCGATGATACAATAAAGTAAATAAAAGATGTACTGCATTAATCGGTCTATCATACGTATTTATTTAGCTTTACATTTTAATTATATTTTTTACTTTAATTTACTTATATTCTATTAACTATAAAAATGAACAGAGTTAGGAAAAGTAAAATTATCTTGATAGTTCATTTAATGTTTTTCCAACTTCTTAAATTGATATACAGAGTGTAATTTTTAGCAAGAAATAAAAAAAGTTTAATCAAACCATTTTTCAAATGTAATATAATGCAAATATTCAAAGAAGTTGTGCAATACTGTATTTGTAATAAATATTAGTGGATTCTATTAAATGAATATGATAAATAAACATAGTTAAACAATTTTATTAATAATTAAAGTTTCATTTAATTTTACATTTTCTGTACAAAGATTACATAGAAAATTTGACACACGTCAAACACCAACTTTGTATTCATGACCCTGTGAAGTTTACCTATGTAAACTAAAGACGCTTCCAAAAGTTCGTTGGCGTTCAGACGAAGCAAAAATAATTCAGAAAGTTTCGTTTTAATCGGGATTTCGCGCTTTCTAAACTTGCATTAACTATTTTTTAAAAATGTTGGTAATTAATTTTTCAATATTTTGCGCTTTGCAAATATTTAATAATTGTCGATAACAATTATATTAAATATTTTCACCGCTGAAATTGTTAAATATTTAAAGACCCTGGTATCAAACAAAGCTTCTTCACAAAGTACATAATGTTTAAATTAATCAAAAATATAGTAGGTTTATTAGATTATAATTTAAAGAAGATGAGTGAAATATATTTATAACTAATTTCAATAATGCCTCATAATTTCTTGTCAACAGTAACACAAACCTAATTTGTATACAGACACTCGTGCAGTAAATTTATCATATTCATCTTCATTTATTTTAGAACATTTGCATAACTACTTACTTACGGCTGCGAGTGTTCGTAAGTGTGATCTGATTCTTAGCAATAACGTTTCCATTTGATCTATATGGAAAATTTCGTGGAAATCGTCACGTCATAATTCATCCAGTCTTCTTGCAAGCTGCAATTCTCAATTTACCGTGCTTCAAGAGAGTACAGCAATTTATGGGTGACAATTAGGAAGCAATGGAAGTAATTTAGAAGTGGATCGATACCCGTTTGGTGATTTCAACGACGGACTCGTGCTTTATTGCCTTATCGTGAAATCCAGGAGTCGTGTAAAGTTCAACGTAGAATTCCACGATGAACTTTACATCAATAGTGTCGACGCATCAGCATTAACTTTAACAGTTCAAAAAATGGAATGTTACTTATATAGTAAATAATATTTATGTGTAAAAATTCTCTTACACACTAAGTTTATACACAATGAAATAATATTCATCTAAAACTTATTTAGTGCTCTTCAGCTAAATGCTGCGTCTTTGCTTTTTTTATTGTTTTATTAATTTTTAACATTCTTCGAACTATATAGCTTTATTAATTTTCTCTTTTAATTTAATGTTTTTTACGTTTTCAATCTTCCTGTTTGGCACAACAAATCGAGTTGCAATCGAGTTGTTCACAGACAAAGAGGATAAACTTAGTTGAAATTCATTACACGAGTGACAATATGTGATACAGACTGCAAACATTTGTGCATTTGTATGTTATAAAAATTGAATAAAAGAAAGTAAAATAAAAATTTTCACAGTATTCTGGAAAATAAGATTCTAGTCTACCATAGTTTTATGATTGTCCATTATAAAAATTCGCTTTTGCACAGAAATGCGTAATCTAACGATAGAGTTCAAGGAAACTGATCCTGTTAATACTTTCTATTAAATTAATATTGAACATTTACTCTAAAATAAATAACTTTTCAAAGAGAAACCACTTTCCTTTGTTTTCACGAATCCTCTCACGTTTATGTCATGTCAAACTTTATAAATTTATTTGTTAAAGAAACGAACCTCCATGTTTCCTCTTTAGTAAAGAACTTGTACTCTTTCGTGTCGCTAGTACGACAAAACAGCTGTCGAGCACTTTCGAACAATATGTGACTCTCAAATAGCGAAGATTACATAAAGCAAGCCAAAAAAAACATCAAAACTCCTTTTCTCGGCGTCACTTACGAGAAAAAGGAATGAAAACAGTGAACTTTATGAAAGAAGAGTCGTGAGAATTGTCGTATTGAGTTTTTAAAAAATTTTCTGAGAACACTGTCTGACCACTCTCTCGATTCGGTGCTGAGATTGTCCAGCAACGTTTTGATCCATCCCAAGTGGTGCTCCTTTGCGGATATTCCTGTAGCGGGAGGAGTGCAATGTCTCTTTTACGATCAAGGGTTCGCCGCGTGTGTTTCTGAAAAGCTGAAGTTTAGTGAAAGAAGAAAAATACACTGAAACGTTGGTTATCGAAAACGATGATCGACGGAACACTTGTCTAATTGGCAAGGAGTATCGGAATTTTGATTAACAGAAAGTTTGTATCTCGGAAATTCGGTTATCGGAATATTGATTAATGAACAATACGATCATTGGTAAATCGATTAGTCGGGAATTAGATTATTGGAATATGGATCAAAAGAAAATTCGAACATTCGTATGTTTTCAAAGACAACGTGCAATTAAAACGTACAGTCTCATCACGGTAAACCAGAGAGACAAAGAAATAATTTAAACCGTAA